AAAAAAAAAAAAAAAAAAAAAAAAAAAAAAAAAAAAAAAAAAAAAAAAAAACCCTCAAATCTCCAAACAAGCAGAAACATGTACCTCTTGTATGGGAGATTTTGCAATGAGCGATGAAGCTTCAACTCTAAAAACAGAGCGCGTTTCAGCGTAATTGTTATCAGAAAGATATTTATCAACAATGAAGGCGACCTGAATAGGGGTTACGTTACCAATCCCCTTGCCGGCGGCCTCAGCTTTTCTAGCCTTGGTCTGCTTCCCCATTCTCATCAAATGAAGAAGAATAAGAAACAGAAGAAACAGAAGAAAGAAGGTGGAGGTTTCAGATGCAGATTCGAGAAGCGGAGAAAGAAAGGGAGGAGCCGCGATTGGAATCGGAGGGGGAAATGAACTGGAAGATTTACTACATAAGATCGAAAGCGGCGGGAAGAAGAGAGGATTTTTAAGGGAAAATGGAAAACGCGGGAACTTTTAAAATTTTTGCGGGTAATGTGTATGGGCGGTTTTTGGACCCGCCTTCAACTCCATTCCCGCCACCGCTGTTTCATTCCATCCGCCGCCGCCGCCGCCGCCGCCGTCAAATTTTAATACAACATTTTAAAACATATTGTATTTAACAAAATATAAGGAGTGTATGAGACGAAATCTTATATATGGTAATTATATTAATTTAGTAATATCAATCGTGTTACTTAATTATAGGCCAATATAAATATTGTTAGATAAGAAAAATATGAATTGAAAATATAAAATTAGATATGAAGATATAATATTAAATGAGGCTAAAACATGATGGGACACTCTTTTTTGAGGCCCAGCAGCGGCCCATCTCAGCACTAGAATTAGAATAATCCAATGGCGGGAACTCAAAGACGCTGAGAAATTCATCACAGGCTCTCGTAGCCGCCAAGAAAAAGCCACCAATATCGGCATTCCATTGCCCAATTGAATTGTTCATGGCGCCGGACGGAGTACCAGGTAGCGGCTCCTTCGTCAGTGTTGCCATTTTTCCTCATCTGGAAGCTCATCTTCTATGCGGAGAGCCAAGACAGAGGCAGAGATAAGCGAATAGAGGCCGAACCAGTCTCTGAACCGATCGATGAGGGAGGGAGATGAGAGATGTTTCAAGGAACGATCGTTTTATCGGCTCAGAAGCTCGAAGACTGTCTGAGGTCAGAAAGTTATTGTGAAATTATATGATTGAGTCCTGTGAAATCGTATATGCCTTCTTCCACGGATGGCTATTTATTTCGGATTCACTAGAAGCACATTTTTTAGTTTTGGCCACTCACTTAATCGATGTCTGGAATGTACTTATAGCTTGATTCACTTTCAGTATGAGGCAAATACACGCTACGTTTTGCTTGTAACTGAAGATTAGGAACCGTATGAATTCGATTGGGCATAAAGTGCAGAAGAAATTTTGCATAAAGTAGAGGGATAAATAATTGAAAAGAAAGAAGGTTTATTAGAAAATTAGAAAGATAGACACTTTTGAAAGAGAAGGCTCTCACACACTCTCTAATCCTCTATTACTTGTTTTTTAAGCGACGCTGTATATTAGGTATACCGTGGGAAATTATGTTATCAGACGTTTAAGGTTTTTGCTTCCTACACAAATTAGTTTGTCACGATGAACAATAGGTTGATGCTTTATCATAAGATCAAATGAAGATATTGTCCGGGAGTTCTGGCATGCAGGCTGGCGTAAGCTGTAAAATTTCAGGTGAAGGTCAGAAAATAACGCATGGGCTATTTGACTATACTCCTAGATACTGTTTCAGATCAAGGGAGTGTGTTTATAAGTAAGGAATACTAAATCTGGGTCTGAGGCCTTTTAGGGAAACAAAAAAACAAAGTCATAAGATTTATGTTTAAAGTGGACAATATCATACTATTGTGGAGATTTGTGATTCCTAACATGATATTAGAGTCATGCCCTTAACTTAGTCATGTCGATAGAATCCTCAAATGTCGAACAAATAAGTTGGGACCCTAGAAGGTGTAATCAAAAGTGACTCAAGTGTCGAACAAAGGGAGTACTATGTTTCAGGACTCTAGAGAAAGGAGTCGAGCCTCAATTAAGGGGAGATTGTTCGAGGGCTCCATAGACCTCAGGGGAATCTCTATAATGTACTTTGTTCAAGGGGAGGATTGTTGAGGATTGTTAGAAGGGAGTCCCACGTTGGCTAATTAAGGGAATGATCATGAGTTTATAAGAATGGAATACTATCTCCATTGGTATGAGATCTTTTGGGAAAATCAAAAGAAAAGCGATAAGAGTTTATGCTCAAAGTGGACAATATCATACCATTATGGAGATTCGTGATTCCTAACCGTTACTTTCATGTTATACTCAGGCATAGAGAGAAGAATAAGGTTATGGGTTTTGAATTCAAGAGGCGTATGATCGCTATTGATTTTATATGCACGAATGACCTTATAAATTGAATAGAGAAAAGAACATTTAAAATGGACTAAACTTACTTTCACTTGTACGGACCATCCATTAAATTTTGATGTGCTGAAGGACTGGTTTTGGGGAGCCAGTTCTAATGAGCTGAATAGCTGCTTTCTTGACCCATGTCTTGAAAAGTTTTATTTTAACTGCCTGTTGTCACTAGTATTGTCACATTTATCATACAAATCACTTCGTGTTGTTCCCAAAGTAGTGTTGTAGTTACCTATCGAGGACTATTAAGAGGAGTAGTCTCACATTGGCTGGCTAATTAAGAGAAAGATCATGGGTTGATAAGTAAAGAACACTCTCTATTGGTATGAGGCCTTTTAGGGAAACCACGAGTAAAGTCATGAGAGCTTATACTCAAAGTGGACAATATCATACCATTGTGGAGAGTCGTAGTTCTAAACATGGTATCAAAACCATGCTCTTAACTTAGACATGTCAAAAGAATCCTCAAGTGTCGAAAAAAATAAGTTGTGAATCTCAAAGGTGTAGTCAATAGTGACTCAAGTGTCGAACAGAGGGTGTACTTTGTTTGAGGCTTCCAGAGATGGAGTGTCGAACCTTGATTAAGGGGAGGTCGTTCAAAAGTTTTAAAGAAGAAAGGTCTCAAGGGAGGTTTTATGGTGTATTTTGTTCGAGGGAAGAATTGTTAAGGATTATTAAGAAGAGTATTCTCACCCTGGCTAACTAATTAAGAAGAAGATCATAAATTTATAAATTAGAACATTATCTCTTGACATGAGGTTTTTTGGGGAACCAAAAATAAAACGATGAGAACTTATGCTCAAAGTGAACATATCATTTGATCGTGGAGAGAGTTGTAAGTTTCTAACATTACCTTCTTCCTTGGAGTTGTCAGTGTGATAAAGTATTGCTTGTGCCTAAAGTATGAATGTCCTGTTTGCAGGTTGCAGGTGTAGAAATAAAAGGTTAAACCTTGTTGATGCTGGAAGAATTTTCTGGAGCTTTAAGCATGGATATCTCCCTCTCTAACCCCATCTCCACACTGCTATTAATCTAAATCACGGTGTACTACCTTTATTTTCCTTTGTTATCTTCTTGAGCCTGAAATTTGTGTTCCTTGCATCCCTTTCTTTTTAATATCACAAAAACCTTAACAAACCCAAGCCAGTTGCATGAGCCTGCCACTGTGTATAAGGTTTTCATGGACCTACATAAAAAAGAAAAAGTATACGATCATCTATCCAGGTCTCGAAAGACTAAAATGTAACCAATTTGAACTAGATTATATGTATACTTCGCTTGTGACCTTAGAATCTGAGTGCGAAGAATATGGCATTACTCTGATTCCACCAATTGATTTCATATGTGAAGAGGCTCCAAAGTCCTATGAAATCAAGACCAGCCGGGCTTATTTGTATGGTATATCGAAAGAATTCGCAAATGGATATATATCTCCAAATCCGTCGACCACAAAAATGCAGTAAATGGATGGGGAAAGGTTAGTAGTCTCTTCAGTCAATTTTTGTTCACATGTAAATGTATTCATCTTATTTTCTAGATTTGTGACATTAAAAAGGGTGGTTTCTGTTAGCCAAAGAACTTTATTTCAATACCTATATATTTTCCCTGGGTGTTTGAGTGTTGCTGGCCGTGCTTTACCCTCTCGAATAAGGTCCCGTGAGTGGGGACTTCAGTTCTTAGTTGCAAAATGAAATAACAAATTATGGTTATAGAATGAGTTACTGTAAATTTAATTTTCAACTGGTACAAGTCATTAGTTGATGATTGTGTGAGCAGGTGAAAGAATAGCTGTTCCATCCTGCACCATTTGGGTCAAACCCCAGAAGTCTATTCTGCATTTAATGAGAAAAGAAATGGGACTACGGTTGGTGCAATCAAGGCGACTCGAACTCTTTGAGGTTAAACTTCTCAATCTCATTTCTAGTACTATACTAAAGATTTCTACTGTATTCATCAATCTCATTTCTCGTACTATACTAAAGATTTCTACTGTATTCATCAATCTCATTTCTAGTACTATACTAAAGATTTCTACTGTATTCACCATCTCATTTCTAGCACCATACTAAAGATTTCTACTGTAATCATCAATCTCATTTCTAGTAATATACCAGTATGGATTATTGCTACATTAATATGATGAAATTTTGTTATCATATATACCTGAAGCCTAAGACTTTTCATGCCCAGATGCCGACAACAACCTGTTTTACATCCCAGTATGTTACGAGTAAGGTGTGAAACCGACCATTTGAGAGGTGGGTGACAAATTGGACCATTGATGCAAAAAAATTTGATGAGAAGTAATGAAGCCCTGCAAGAAAATCCTCTTTGTGATATCTGTTCACAATCAGCAATTACTGATAGAAATTGAATTTCACGTTATGTATTTAATATTTACTATCTCTGTCAATATAACTCCTCAACTGATCCTATTGCATTATTTTTGCAGAAAATTGCAGAAAAGAAACTGAGAATTTTCAGAACTTGTGAGTGATGATAATCTCTGCTTTGCTTTATAACTTCAAAGGTACGAGATATTTGATTCAATCTAAGTCTAGTATTCTCATTAACTCGTAGTTTAAAGTGAAAGGTGTTTAGGATTGTTGGAAATGAGTGTCATGTTGGCTAATTCAATAGGAAGCCTTTTGGAGAAATAAAAAACTAAAGTCGCTAAAAAGTAGGCAATATCATGCTATGGTAGAGTATCGTGTTTCTGCATAGAGGGAAGAAATTCATCATCACACGCTTGGTATCCATGTGCAGTCTTTAGACTCACTGGCAATTTAAAAATAGTTTTCGAAGTACGAACTAAAACCACAACAAATAGATTTTCAGAGTCCTTTCAGAATCAATCAACTTGGGGAAAAAAACAGAACATAGGCATTCATTTACAAATGCTAAGCGATAGGAATTATCAAACAAAATAGCCTGTGATAGGAACTTCATTATGATAATATTTTCAACAGAGAAACTTGCAGAATAACAAATTATACGAGCATATGTAACTGATATTCTTCATGTCTTATCAAGATAACAGCAACTAAGAACCAAAAACGAAAAGCAAATCTTAATTGACGACAATATTATGGCCTAAAAATTCTACAGCAACATGAATTGATTTAGGCCTTTCATAAATCCACCGCACTGAGTTGCCAGAGACAGGCAAATGAAAAATCCTCAACATGTTCACGTACTTCATTCATCTTGTTCCGCACCGTCTTCATCTTCGTAGTAATCTTCATCCTCAGCCGAAGCATCTTGATATTGCTGATACTCAGAAACCAGATCATTCATATTGCTTTCAGCCTCAGTAAACTCCATCTCATCCATACCCTCCCCTGTGTACCAATGCAAGAAAGCCTTCCTCCTAAACATGGCCGTAAACTGCTCACTCACACGGCGGAACATCTCTTGGATTGATGTTGAATTTCCAATGAAAGTAGAGGCCATTTTCAAACCAGTTGGAGGAATGTCACAAACTGTAGATTTCACATTGTTGGGGATCCATTCAACAAAGTATGAAGAGTTCTTGTTCTGGACATTGATCATCTGTTCATCAACTTCCTTAGTGCTCATCTTGCCTCTGAACATAGCAGATGCAGTAAGATAGCGACCATGTCGGGGATCAGCAGCACACATCATGTTCTTAGCATCCCACATTTGCTGAGTGAGCTCAGGTACTGTAAGAGCCCTGTATTGCTGGGATCCACGGGAAGTGAGGGGAGCAAAACCCACCATGAAAAAGTGGAGACGAGGAAATGGGATAAGATTGACGGCAAGTTTCCTGAGATCTGAGTTAAGCTGTCCCGGAAATCGCAAACAACAGGTCACACCGGACATCGTTGCAGAAATCAGATGGTTAAGATCTCCAACTGACCAAGAACAAGAACTATTAGAGGAGGATGTAAAATTAAGAAGAGAAATTAAAGATCCAAGATCTGTGTGCAGAAACATACAGCTAGGGGTGGAGAGCTTCAGGGTACGGAAGCAAATATCGTAGAGAGCCTCGTTATCGAGTACCATACACTCGTCGGCGTTTTCAACAAGTTGATGAACAGAGAGGGTTGCGTTGTAAGGCTCAACAACAGTATCAGAAACTTTAGGAGATGGGAAAACGGAGAACGTAAGCATCATTCTGTCGGGGTATTCCTCTCTGATCTTGGAAATCAGAAGAGTTCCCATTCCAGATCCAGTCCCTCCTCCCAACGAATGGCAGACCTGGAACCCTACAAAGTTTGATCCAAACCATCTTGAGCAACAAAACGCAAGAAAGAACCCGAAAAGGGAAATCACAAAAGAGTCGGTTGGGTAAAAGTACCTTGCAGGCAGTCACAATTCTCAGCCTCTTTACGAACAACATCAAGAACGGAATCAATAAGCTCCGCACCTTCGGTGTAATGTCCTTTAGCCCAGTTGTTTCCCGCACCAGACTGACCGAATACGAAGTTATCAGGTCTGAAAACCTGACCGTAAGGTCCAGATCTGATACTGTCCATAACACCAGGCTCAAGATCCATAAGCACGGCACGAGGAACGAATCTCCCGCAACTGGCCTCGTTGTAGTATACATTAATTCGATCAAGTTGAAGATCGGAATCACCAGTGTACTTACCGATGGAGTCGATGCCGTGCTCAGCACAAACCACTTCCCAGAACTTGGCACCGATCTGGTTGCCACATTGGCCTCCTTGGATGTGAAGAATCTCACGCATTTTTACAAGAAATGGAAACTAAAAGTTGATTGAAAACCAGAGAAAAGGGCGAAGAAACCCTAGAGAGAGAGAGATAGAGAGAGTGATGGAGGGAGAGAGAAGGTAAGAGATGTGGAGTTAAAGGGAAATGTGGGGACGGAGGGTTCTTTATAGAAATAAAAGGAAATAACGGTTAAAATATTATTTAGGGAATTTGAAATAAATGAGCGGGAAACAAGTTAGGGTTTGCAAAAATGAGTGTAGAAACAGCCACATGCTCCAACGGCGTTTGGTAAATGTAACGCTCCCCCGTTAGTTTCCCTTCAAATTTTGAAAACAAATATATCTGGAAACAGCTGGAAGCCACCAATACTAATGTGATCTCTTTATTTTTGTTTTGTTTTTTTTTTTTTTTTTTT